GTTATTGCTCCTTCTCACTCACCCCTTTTCTGTGAAGGGGTCCGCAGCTAGACTGAAGCAGGCTTCAGCCAACTACAGTGCTGAGGCCAAACCTAGCCTGACATCAGTTTTTGTAAACAACATTTTATTGGAACACAAGCAGGCCCATTCATTTGCAGCTCGGCTATGGCTGCTTTCACGCCACAGTGTCAAATCGAGTAGCCAGAAGTAGATAGAGACCATATGGTCTGCAAAGCGAGAAGTATTTTCTGTCTGGCCCATTACAGAGAAAGTTTGCCAATTCCTGGACTAAGGGAACATTTCCAGTGAAATTATTTATAAATTTTCCTCTGACCTTAGAAGTATCACCCCAAACCACATATGCTGAGTGGATTTTGTTGTTTACCTATTTTTCTTTATTTTCAATCTGTGGCTTTAAGGCACAACATTCTTTTTTCAATCTCATACTAGGGTCTAAAAATCATAGGTAGTTTTGTAAAAAAAAGGAAAAAAGGCCATTCTTTAATATATAATAAATTAACTCATTACATGTGTGAGGGGATGAAGTACGGAGATTATTTGAATCTATTAATTTGTCATAATTCTCTCCACTTAACTTTTTCTCCAGCTGCTACAATGAACCCCAATTTCACCAATTTGTAACTTGCATTATTGCTGGTAAAAAAAATTTTTCTTGTACGTTTCCCCAAATCAGCATAATAATTGGTGATGGACAAAGTATATATCTAATAGAATATTAACCCAGGAAAATAAATTTTTAGAAAAAAAATCTCATTCCTTTCTTTGAAAATAAGAGGCCAAGTGCCTGAAAAACCTCTCATTACTCTTTTCAAATCCCACAAAAGCTACTAAAGAAAACCTCCCGGATTTGATACTTAATGACTGCAGGAAAGCAACCGGCTTGTAGCTGAAATCCACATCCTGTCTTGAATTGTGCTCACTGTGCCGGCAGCGTCATTGATATTTAAAAGTACCAGCGTGCCCTCTTGCGGTGCATTGCAGTTACTGTTCTTTTCTACTGAGAACTTAGGAGTTTGGGTCCGACCATTACATTTTATGCAATTCATTTTACAAGAGCCCACTCTGTCTTCCATTTCATCTGTGATTGATTCATATGGAACAATAATCAATAATATATGCTGGGACTTGCAGAATGAACTGCTAAAATTGCCCTGGACTGTAATGAAATATGACTATCACTGTCTGACACCCAGGTTGAGTTCCCAGGAGCAGTAATAAATCTGCCACCCATCTCTGGTTCATAGGAATACCTGGTAAAAGAGAAAAACATAAAGTCTAACATTATCATATTCTTGCATATATGGTGTTATCAAGAATTTCTACCTACTCTGCTTTCCAATTTGAGGATATGGATATACACAAAGGGCACATGAAAACTCCCCTACATAGAACAAAAAAGCTTTATGAAAATCAAGTCTACATCCCCATTACTGGTTGTCTTCATTCCAGGGGAGCTTTGGGTACTCGTTCTGGCCACTTGACGTTTTGAATTCATTGGATTAGACAACAGTGCAAGCCCCATGGATGTCCTAGATTGTATTTGGCACTTGTGAGACCAACTACCCATTATAGATCCTCTTGACTTCTTGGCTATGTTGTGGTGGTGGTTGTTTTAAATATATACAAGTCCCACCGCTATACTAGCTTAATTGGGATCCCCTGAGCAAGTTACTTTAATGCTATCAGTCTGTAAAGTGGAAAGATGAATAATGACAACCTTAATATAGTTGTCATGACTGGTCACATAGGAAAAGCTTAATAAGTGTCACCATCAGTATGACTTTGAAGTTCCTTAACATACTCCAACACTATAATCTCTTAATATTCCTTCTCTCCTTTAGCCACTCCCCACTTTTCTGGTGTATTTTTGGTCTGTTTTATTAAATTTTTGTGTGTGTTTATGCTTACTTTTGCTTACTGTGTGATAATGGAAAAGCTCGGTTTAAAAGTGTGGGCTGTTTCACCACCCTGCTTGTCAACAGACTCATTACTATCTCGAACACAGGACGACAGCACTACAGGGCCAATACCTAGAAATGTAAATAGTGGGCTATCTCTGTGGAACTCAGGTATGAATCTTTGGACACTGTTTTTATTGGAGAGCTGAAATAGGCCTCCAGAAAAAGATGTTGTTTAAAAAGTCTGGAGAACAATATAATGAAGTGCTATACTTACTGCTTGTCCTTTCAGTGGTCAGGGGATTCTTCTGCATTTATCTGGAAGTTTTGAATGCAAGTTGCTTTCATGAGAAAAAAAAACTCCCAATCATGGATCTGTCCATTTTAGAAAAAGAATAAACACTGACTATGATCCATTGGACAGAACAGATGCTCCAGCTACTGAGGGTATTTTTTGTCCACAGCTTCATTAAACATCAAGAGTGATTTTCTGGGTCAAATCCAGCTGAAAGTACTTATTTTAGAATCCTCATTTTTTGTTTCCCTAGCAATGCTGTGACATCATGTCAAGGTTCTTACACTCCAAATTAGGGCCTAAACATGCTTATTGATTCTCCTTGTATAACTTGTAGTTGAAGGCGTTTCAATCTCTTCATTCACTGTAGCAAGCCTAAAATATGCAAGGGGTGGGGAGTTTTTCAAACAGACAATATTTAATAAATAGAATTTTTACCTATGCCCACCCTGGTAGCCACAATTGTTGTCTATTACCTAGGAATTAAATGTTGAGTTGCAAGGGATGATCACTATAGTAACTAGAAGGACACGGGAACGTTGGAAATGTGGGAAGACGTTAAATTTAGATCAAAGTGAGTATACGTCACATTATCAATCCTATTTCTAGGTGCTAATTTTCTTCAACAGATCTTTCTTACACATCACATGAAAGGCCCTCTTTGCTCCTTTGTGCCAATTTTCAAAACCGTTTAAATTAGCAAAAAATTATTTTGGGGTTAAGAAAAAATTGTTTTTGTTTTTTCAAACTATAACCTAATCATGTGCCAATGCTATTTTGCTTTCACTGGATCATAAATAGTACAAATGTCTTGTGTTTTCTAGATATACACTTTCAAGTAACCCTTTTATTTTTTTTTTAATACAAAAAATGTACCATCTGACCTGCATTGTGACTGCTGTGAATCACTCAGAGCTGGCGTGATATAGGATTCCAGTGCTTTTTGTGGAATTAACTTCCAGCCCACAAACAAACAGCCTTGAAAAGACCCAGATGAGATCAAACAGTGGATTTTCCTAGGCGTCAGAAAGAAGAATTCAATCTCACAACATTAAATGCCTTTAGGAGAAAAAAGTTAGCCTGTATATGTTTGACATCAAAGACAGAAATATCTTCCATCTCTGTTTAGTGTTCCCAAACTCCAGGCAGCTTTTTTTTTCTTTTTCTCTATTCTCTTTCCCGACTTGCTCTCTGAATTATAATTAGGAACCTGGAGGAGAGATTTGACCTTCACTTGTGCTCATTTTTAGTAATACACAAAGTCTAACGAAGGACTGTTCTACTTCTTCACAAATGACTGATTCTGCTTGTTTGGTGTTCCCGGCACAAATCTGTGGGGTGTTGGCAATTGTCTCACCAACGGTAAACTCCAGGACTCCGTTCCAAGTAGTACAAAAGTTTGTGTTGTTAGTTACACGTCCTGCTTTGTCCATCACCTATTGTTGTCTAAAAATAACAAATGCTCATGACTCAGCTTTCTACTAAAACTTTCAGGATAAGTTGACCTTCCTTGGATTGGTTCTCTGGAAGAGACTGCATTTTGCTTCCAACCAGAACCCATGATAGACGAGGCACCTCCCATTTGTCTGGACTGAGGAGTGAGTGAGAGGCACAGTGTTTCCATGTTCCAACATGACCAGTTAGTTGGCTACAGTTCATAACAATGAAGATACATCCCCCTCTCTTCTGCCCAAAAGTCCGAGGAGAATGAGGAATAATTCATTACCAAAGAGAAACAGTTCTCCTAGTAACTAGTCCAGACCCACAAGGAATCCAGAGAATGTCCAGAAGTGAAATATTCATTTTCCAATGAGTTGGCAGGAATCCCTTTTCTCTGCAGGCTCCTTTCCCTCCTTCCTTCCCCAATGATACCTAATCCCCTTCTCGGGGTGCTGGCTCCATCTTGGATGTGCAGAAGGCAGTAAGATTCCTTGAACTCATGATGACCATTTCTCCTACACAACTCAAACTCGGTTATGCTTACATTCTCCCTCATAAGAGGCTTGGCGTTTCAGAGTCTTCTGATTGGAGCATTTAAAACAAAAACAAACCCTTTTCTTATTATATTGACTATTGCTCATAGCATCGTGTTCAATGTGCTTACAATTTCTTTCACTTAAGTCTATAATACAAAACCCCCTCCTCCATCAGAGGTAAAGAATGAAGAAAAGATTTAAAAATATATATATATCCACTCAAGAAGTTTAAGCATGAATTAATGCCTTCTTTGAACCAGGAATTGTAGTAGGGGCTGGAAGTACGGAATGAATAATTCATAGGCATAATCTCAGTATCCAGAAATTAACAGGGGGTGCGGTAGGAGTGGTAAACAGACATATAAAAAATTAATGGTGGTGCAGTCCTGTAACAACTTGCATCTAGATATGAACAAAGTGTTTGTTAGCTCGGAGGAAGATGCTGGTCTCTGGGAAAGCCTGCATGTGTGGGAGGCAGGCACAAGAACACAAAGGAAAGCACATACTTTGATTCATTTTCCTGGACTTAGCCTCCCCAGAGCCTTTTCCAAGGTGGACACATGTGGGTTCGCATTCCACAGTGCTGCTTAACTCCAGTGAAACAGCCACAGCCACAGAATGCCGAGTGGAGATGCCAGGAGGAAATGGTGACAGGGGTTTGAATAAACTTTTGATGCTCAGACCCCTGTAAGGTATATTTGTTTGCTAGAGCTGCCATAACAAAGTACCACTGACTAGAGGGCTTAAACAACAGGAATTTATTTCCTCACAGTTCTCAAGACCAGAAGTTTAAGATTGAGGTGTTGTCAGGGGTGGTGTCTTCTAAAGGCCTCTCTCCGTGGCTTGTAGATGGCTGTCTTCCTCTGATGTCTGCACACGGTCATCCCTCTGTGTCTTAACCTCCTTTCCTATAAGGAGGGACACAGTCATAATGAATTAGAACCCAACCATATGACCTCATTTTACCTTAACACCTCTTTAAGGCCCTATCTCCAATACAATCACATTTTTAGGCATTGGGAGGTTAGACTTGACAATGATTCTTTCCTTGACCAACCGTTGGTCCAGCTCTTCTGAGCTCTCTTTGGATTAGGCCTGACCTTGGGCTCACATGCTCTTCCCGGTAAAGGCCATTTCTAGCAAGAATCCTGTTAGGTCAGTTTAACCAGAATCACCGTCATCATTCGGGTGAAACGATCAACCTGGCCTGCCTTTAGCAAGAGTCCTGTTAGCTCCGTTTAGGCAGAATCCTCCCTTACCCATGATGTTTCCTCTTACTAATTTTCCATCCACTGACTCCCCGCTCCTACTTCTTGGCTACAAATTCCCATATTTCCTTGTATTTGGAGTTGAGGCAATCTCTCTCTCCCCTAATACAAAATCCCATCATAGTGGTCCTTATACCTATGGTGATAGTCCCCCTGAATAAAGTCTGCCTTACTATTGTTTAACAAGTGTCATGAATAATTTCTCTTTAATAGACTTTAACATAGGAATTTGGGGGAGGGGACAGAATTCAGACCATAAAGTAAGATCCTGAAACTTAAGGGAAGGTATGGTAAGGAAGCTCCAGCCATAAGCTTCTCCTTCAGGAAACAGGGAGAGATAGAGAGATAGAGAGATAGAGATAGAGATAGAGATAGAGAGAGAGAGAGAGAGAGAGAGATTCCTTTAGGAGAACATAGATTGATTGGACAACCTGGGTGGGGAGAAGGGAACAAAGTACTTGTTTGTCATCCTGTAGGATGACACTTCTGTTTGGATTAGGAATAATAAACCTAAAGTAAAAACAACATCAACAAATGTTATAGCATTATGCCATATGTATTTCATAGCAATTGAAACTCCTACTATCATTTCACCACCAAAGAATCATTTTTGTAATTACTATCAGTTATCGATTGCCTACTTGTTCAGTCCAGCAGAGAAGTTAAGGGCAAGGGCCCTAGAGTCAGAGATCACTTACCATGTAACCTTAAACAATTCAATTTCTCTGCACCTTAATTTCTCATCTGAAAAATTTGAATGACTATGTCTTCCTTAGAGGATTGTAGTGAGGAGGATATGAGATCATAAAGATTATTGTTATTAATATTTTTCAGGGACTACATATAGTAGGTGTTCTATATATTTTATCTGTTTTAAGAGATAGAGATAGAGTCCTATGAGCCCTAACCTGTTTGGCTCAGTGGATAGAGCGTTGGCCTGCGGACTGAAGGGTCCCAGGTTCGATTCTGGTCAAGGGCGTGTACCTTGGTTGCGGGCACATACCCAGTAGGGAGTGTGCAGGAGGCAGCTGATCGATGTTTCTCTCTCATCGATGTTTCTAACTCTCTATCCCTCTCCCTTCCTCTCTGTAAAAAAAATCAATAAAATATTTTTTTAAAGTCCTATGAGGAGACTATAGGACTATCGCCAGCCCCACAACCTCCCTGTATCCCACCTATTCCTACTATCAGTGATGACAATTTCCATGAGGAGATTCATGAGAGCGTTGCTCCCCCAAACTAATGAAAAGAGTAGCTTCAAGATGATTTCCTTCCTCAGTTCTTTGGATGGTGCATTCTATCCTGTGCGTAGCTGCTCTCCTGGCACAGTTTCTATGACAACCTGTCTCTGGGATATTTTTCTGCTCATCCATAGTACTCATGGCTCTTCTTGTTACAAAAATAAATAAATAAATCCATCAAATAAAGCCTTATATCAAGGTTTTGTTCATGGGGAATCTCAGAAAGGATCCATGATGCTACATCAACCAAGGAAGTAATTGCTTTCAATTGTTCTTGTGTAAATGTTATAAAGCCCCATATACTCTCACTCTCTCCAGACAATAACTAGAAACATACAATTAGATTTCATAGTTACTAGTACAACACAAAGCAGAGGTACAGTTTCATTCTGATGTTGGAGCTTTCTTAAAATCTTTTTCTGGATGTTTCTTTTGGTTTTATCGTTTGTCGTAATATATTTTACAATACCACAGTATGTAAACACTGGGAACTTTGTACCTACAATTTAACTCTAATCTACACCCTAGGAATCAATAAGCATTTGAAGTGGCTTAATAGAGTTAACACCCTAAGAATTGGCCAGGTGGCATTCAAAAGTCTTCTTGTCAAAATCAACACCAGAAATTCCTTATTTATCATGTTCCAGGCCAGTAATTCATACGATGGGGATAGCTCCTAAGACCCTGTACCTCTCCCCATCAGTGGACAATCCTGTCATCTGGTCTGACTAAAAGGCCTGATGCTCCTTCTGTCAGCACACGCCTGTCTTCATCTTGGAGAGAGCCTTTCATGAAGGGCTGGTCATTGTGTCAAGTTTTTTTTGTTTGTTTTTAATATATTTTATTGATTTTTTACAGAGAGGAAGGGAGAGAGATAGTTAGAAACATCGATGAGAGAGAAACATCGATCAGCTGCCTCCTGCACACTCCCTACTGGGCATGTGCCCGCAACCAAGGTACATGCCCTCGACCGGAATCGAACCTGGGACCTTTCAGTCCACAGGCCGACGCTCTATCCACTGAGCCAAATCGGTTTCAGTGTTTTGTGTCAAGTTTTGAGTCTGAAAATACTCCAAGTATACACAGGCAGGATGATTGTTTTGTGCCTGGTTGCTAACAAATATTTGTCTGCTTAGAACATTATGGTCTGAAATGTGCTTTTGCTACAACTGCCTGATAGAAAGATGGTAAGTTGGAAACACAGAGTTGTCATCCCCTCTAAGTGGTGGAGCGTTCTGATGAAGTCTCGAATGATCTGACATTCATGGAATGGCAAACTGGGTTAAGTTGGTTCAAATTCTCATCCTCTGTTCTTTGACATATACCTCATAATAATCCTGTGTACTTGAATTTCCTCCTGCCACGCTAGCATTTTCTTCATTAACAGGCTTATTGACCTTTATACAAGTGCAGTCTACTGGTTAGAATACCATGTTCAGGCAATGCGGAAATGCTCTGGTTTCCATAACCACCACTCAGGTACTGAGTCATAAATCGTCATGCTGGCTCCCAGATTCGTCCCCCCCCCTTTAAATAGACTTTATTTTTTAGAGCAGTTTTAGGTTCATAGCAAAATTGAGCGGAAGGTCCTAAGATTTCCCATTACCCTCTGTCCTCACATATACATGCAACCACCCCCACTATTAACATCCCCCACCAGAGTGGTACATTTGTTGCAGTTGGTAAACTTACATTGACACATCATTATCATCCAAAGTCCACAGTGACATTAGGGTTCAGCCTTGGGGTCATATAGTCTATGGGTTTTGATAAATGTATAATGACACATCCACCATTACAGTATCATACAGAATAGATTAGATTCAATGGCCAAAAATCTTCTGTGTTTCACCTATTTATCCTTCAACATATGAATTGGGACAGGGGATGACCTCCCCCGACCCCCCACCCTAGCAACCACTAATTTTGTTGTTTCTATAGTTTTCCCTTTTCCAGAATGTCATGTAGTTCGAATCACACAGTGTTTAGCCTTCTCAGATTGACTTTTTTTCCACTTAGTAATATGCATTTAAAGTCCCTCCGTGTCTTTTTATGGCTTGATAGCTCATTTTATTTTAGTGCTGAAAAATATTCCATTGTCTGGATGAACCATGGTTTGTTTTTCCATTCACCTACTGAAGGACATTTTGGTTGCTTCCAAGTTTTGACATTTTGACTAAAGCTGCTACAAACATTCATGTGCAGAATTTTGTGTGGACAGGGTTTTCAGCTCCTTCAGGTAAATAAATTCTAAGGAATTTGATTGCTGGATCATATAGTAAGATTATTATTCAGTTTTATAAGAGACTGCCAAACTGTCTTCCAAAGTGTCTGTACGCTTTTGCATTCTGACCAGTAATGAATGAGAGTTCTTGTTGCTCCACATCCTCGCCAGCATTTGGTGGTGTCAGTTTTATGGATTTTGGCCATTCTCATAGATATGAAGTGGTATGGTATTTCCTTGTTGTTTAAATTTACATTTTCCTAATAACATATAAAGTAGAGGATCTTTTGTTATGCCTATTTGCTATTTGTATATCTTCTTTGGTGAGGTGTCTACAAGGTCTTTTGCAATTTTTTTTCAGTCATGTTTATTTTCTTATTGTTCAGTTTTAAGAGTATATTTTGAATAACAATCTTTTATTAGATGTGTCTTTTGCAAAGATTTTTCTACCAGCCTGTGGCTTTTCTTGTCATTCTCATGACAAGACTAATTTTTAATGTAGTGAAAATGCATATATTTGCTTGTGTGTGGAACTTAAATACATTTACTCGCTCTTTTATTCATTCAGCATGTATTTATTAAGCACCTGCTAAGTATGAGCACTGTGCCTGGCATGAGGTAACCAACATGGATATGGGGTTGCATATGCCTCTAAGACATAATGGCTCATATTTAAATCTTCAAACTTGTATTCATATCCTTCATGATTTAGCCTCTGAAATATTATGGAGCCTGTCCTCTCCTCTTTATTCCCAAAGACTATCCCGATTACTCTCCTTATCATGGCAGATGATCACACCTAACTTGATTCTTTTTCAACTGGGTCTCCCCCTTCCAGTTCCTCCTCTACATAGTTGATAGTTAGCCTTCTAAAATTTAGATACAACCAGGTTATATTTCTGGTTAAAAATTGTATATGACCCACAGTTGTAGTGGGTATCAGTTTTGTTCTGCAACAACAGAGTGCAGGAGACATCACTTCTCTTAACTTCTCTAGTATAGTTAAATTATGCTGAGTCCTCTTCTATTTAGTCAGTGAAAAACCCAATTTCAGTCTTTTTATTGGGCTCCTTCCATCCACCAACGATCTTCTGAAATTTAGAAGAATCTTATAACAGAATATTCAAGAACGGGCTCTCTGGTCTTAGTTTACAATGCTTACCTCTCATCTTCACCTTGACTGTATCCAGGTGGTCCTATGAAAGTAGATAATGCCAAGCCTGCCTCTTTAGAAATATTTGGTTTCTGGCCAGCAAAGCAAAAGAAGCTGAGATAAGGAAAAGGAAAAGCTAGGCGCCTTCTATAGTGGTAGAAGTTTGAAAATATATATAAAACAAGAGACACAAAATCACTAGGTAATATTTCAAATTATCCTGCTTCATGGAGAGAGTCCAATTCCTTAGCATGGCTACAGGACATAGCTACACTTCGCAGTTTCACCTTCATCCCATGATGTGCTGCAGCCAGTGCACACCAGCTCATGAGAGCCAAGTGCTAGATTTTTAGGAATATTGTGAGCCAGTTGTTAAGCGTGGCTCTTATTAAAAATTAAATAATATAAATATCACTTCCCATCTCCCTGGAGAACCTCGCCATCCCCATTCAAGCTCCCAAAGCACTTTGTAAGTACTTGTATTACACCACATCTGACATTGTCCCGAATTCTTGTTTTTACTAAAATATCCCCAGACTCTGAGCTTGTCAGTAAGATATTTCATTAGGAATTCAATAATTGTTTGGTGAGTGAATGAGAGAATGACTCTTGGAGGTTAAAACCTAGTTCCTTCCTGATACCTTGGGATTACCCCTCTACCCAGCAGCACTCACAGTTTCCCAATTCAAGCTTTACATACCTAGGACTCGGAGTCCTTCCATTTTTTGATCACTCATCCCAGGAAAAGCTTGGTTTCCCTCCACAAGAGATCTGGCTTTCATTCTCCAAAGGCTTTTACTCTGGGGGAGGGTCAAAATGTGATAAAAAAAATATATAAGTAGTAAAGAAACAAAAAATGTTTAACAATTCACTAATGTACAGAAAGCAAATGACAAGTCTCCACATGCACATATTAATGCCCCGTGGTACATGAGCCTAAAATGAAATGTCCATGTGGCTGGTTGGTGAGCCAGCCCAGGGCTCTCTGCTGTCCAATTGGTATTTCGGAGGCACAGAGCGGATATGCTGAAAACTGTGGGACTGGCTGACAGGCAGGTGGATGGGCAGGGGTGCAGATGGACAAAATGGCCAGAAGGGCTGCTCGTCACATAGACATACCTGGGAAACATCCTTTAGAAGAGAATGTCATGAACATTCTGGAAGGTTCAGGTCAGAAATGTGTCAAAGACTGGACAAAACAAAGGTTGAGAACCATTGCTTTTGATTTTAGGTGACGCCACCTCGAGTACGGAACCGCTTAACCTAATTTCTGATTCCACCAACAGCTTTGGGGAAATCGTCGTTGCTTTGCCCTAGTCTTCCCAGAACAAGAACCAAACATCCCTGAGGACACCAAATGACACCGGCACCCCGCCGCCAAGCTGGCACCGGCAAAGATGTAGACTATTTGCAGAGAGCACACCGCCTCTGCTGTGAGTGGGCAATAAACTACCAGGGAGATGCGTGCTGCCTGCCTGGAGACAGGGTTGCTAGGTGCCTCAGAAGTAGTGAGACCGAGAGGTGTACATTATTTCCCCCACACTTCTTATTTTACACAGTGACAGTTGTAGCCTGGAAACAAAAGTGAGCAACAGCATCTGTGGTATTAGAAATAATGGCCAGCCAAGGGCCCTATGGGGCAGAAGGAGGAGGGTTGAGGCTTTTATCAAGAGCAGGAGAAAAAAAAGTAATGTGATTTGGTTTCACCATAATTGCTTAAGCAGCCTGGGTGAGAACTAATTATGAGTTCATCTGGCTCCGGAGAAACCCCCCTCTTCCCCTCTCCAGGATGATACTAAAATATCAGCATTGCGTCACCAGAAATCACTCCCATTGGTGGCCTTTCTTAAGGAGAGCGGCGGCTCTGTGTCTCTGAAAGTCACTGGAATCCGAGTAGACCTGGGAATTTATAGCTTCCCAAGGCAAAGAAAATAGTCCTGGCACTCACTTGTCACTTGGAAACTCTGAGTGCTTACCCATTATTATATCATAGAGGAAGTTTTGCTTTAAAAAATGTGGGAGTGATGAAATGCAGAGAAGAAAAGGAAGAGACAAATTCCAGGCCCTACGTCACTACAACAGCCCTGCCAGCATTAGACTAGGCGGAAGTACTGGGTTTCAGAACCAGGCTGTTCATTGATGATATCTTGACACTCCAGGGCTCTCGCCAGGCTCCAATGGCCCTAAAGAGACAAGTACGTCTGCTCAGAAAGTTGGTCGCCTAATTCTCAAAAGTGCAGAGCTAACATTGGAGGTCAGCAGGATAGAACTTGAATTCCGTCTAGGTTAGTAGTCCAATAACAAACCTAGATGAAAGCTAAGTAATGATGCTCTAATGTGTTTATTTGGACTCTATGTGAGTTCTGAGAACGAGGTGAGTTGAATTGGGGTAGCAGGAAGAGCATGGGTTTAAATCCGGGTTTAAGTTGGGTTCAGATGCTTAACAGCTATATGTAAGTTACTTGCCTTCTCTGAGTGTCAGATTCGACTGAGAAATGAGATAAAAATATCAGTACTTTTGCAGTATCTCTGTAAGGATGAGAAATATGTAAAGTGTCTACATGGCACTTGGGACAGAAGATGTACAAGATAAATGGTAGCATATGTCCCAAATCTCTCTCAATGAGAAAGCCTAACCTGAGTGCCTCTACAAGAGTGGCCCTGTGCAGTTTACAAAGACCAGCCCTGGTTGGTTTGCTCAGTGGTTAGAGCATCAGTCCCCCGTGGACCAAAGGATCTTGGGTTTGATTCCCCGTCAAGGGCACGTACCTCGGTTGCAGGCTCCATTCCGGCCCCTGGGTAGGAGTGCATGTGGAGGCAACCAATTGATGTGTCTTTCTCACATCAATGTTTCTCTTTCTCTCCCCCCACCGCTCCCCTCCACTCTCTCTAAAAAATCAATGGAAAAAAATATCCTCGGGTGAGGATTAAAAAAAGACATACCAAACATGACTTTTGTCTTCTGAACCATCACAATTTAGTTAGATGAGGAGGGCAGTGGAGGTGGAAGGGAATTAAAAACTGTCGGAAGCAGGCAGCAGCAAAACACTATGGAATTAGATTCTAAATCACGCAGTGCAAATTCCATGTGGGGTAGGAGTTCAGGGAAAAGGAAGAACAATGTGGGTGGAGCAATAACTTCAACCAGAACTTGAACAGAAAAATAGACACAAATGGGATTTCCCAGCCGCTAAGATTTACACACAAATCAAACTGTTGATTTAATAAAAACAGAAAACCAATCCACTGAGAAGAGACTCATTTTAGCATCCAAAAGACTGTCTAGGCTCACCTGAGGAGCCATCTTTATTTTGCAAGAAAAGTCAGCTACCTACTGTTAGGGAATGAGGAGCAGAAATAAACCATCCAACTCCATAAAAAGTCCAAACTGTAATACAAGTTTAAAATGTATGACTTTATAAATGAGTTAAATGGCTTACTCTACCCATGACTGTGTTGATCTCCCTTCTCATAGATTCCTTTAAATACATATTGGACTTATGCCCAATTCCATCTAAACATGGACGAACAATAAATAGCATCTCATTTTCTGTAATTAATAGTAATTTGAATTTGCACCCCCAGGAAAATCCAACCTTCATAGTTTGAGAAAAGGAGGGAAAACACAATAGCATTGATTATGTATTTAAGTTACACCCATGCTTTATATTTTGTACAGATTTGCCTAAATACCATCTGAACTTGAATATAAATGATATTTTCTCCAAAAGTTATGCCATAGAAATAAAAATAATTGCCCTATATTTGAGTCTTTATAAAGTCTCTCATATTATAGGAGGTCTATTCAATTATTTTGAAAAGCTAATTGCAGTGTGGGTAAGGGGGAGAGATCAACCAAAGGACTTGTATGCATGCATATAAACATAACCAATGGACGCAGACACTAGGAGGGAGAGGGCATGAATGGGTTTGGTGTGGGGGGGGGGCAATGGGGAGATAAGGACACATATGTAATACTTAATTAATAAAGAAAAAAAGAAAGAAAAGCTAATTGCATATATCTAAATAAAAGGTATAATTGTTCTCCAATTTTTTCTTAGAGCTAAAAAGGCTCACCTTATATTTGAACCTGTACTTCGTCTCTCCTGTTATGAAAGGCCTATTCAATTATCCAGATTCAGCCTCAATAAGTGCGAGTTCAAATGCTTGTAGAAATCAGCTAAAAAAACAGCCAAAAATATTTTATATAGATTTGAAATTATTGCTAGAGGTATGAATTCTAAATTATAACAGTCGCTGTTAATAATTCTTTTAAAGATCAACTTAAAAAGTAGTATAGTAACCCTAACCAGTTTGGCTCAGTAGATAGAGCATCGGCCTGAGGACTGAAGGGTCCCGGGTTTGATTCTGGTCAAGGGTATATACCTTGGTTGTGGGCTGGATCCCCAGTAGGGGGCATGCAGAAGGCAGCTGATCGATATTTCTAACTCTCTATCCCTCTCCCTTCCTCTCTGTGAAATGAATAATAATTTTTTTTTAAAAAAAAGGCAGTGTAGTAAGTGATTAGATTGGAAAGATTATAAATGTAAACCCATGGTATGGACTGAATGTTTGTGTCTCCCCAAAATTCATATTTTAAAATCCTAAACCCAAACATGATGGTATTAGGAGGTACAGCCTTTGGAAGGTGATTAGATCACGAGCCCTCATGAACAGGATTAGTGTCTTCACCAAACACCAAATCTGCCAGCACCTTGTTATTGAATTTCCTGGCCTCCAGAACTGTGAGAAATAAATGTTGGCTGTTAAGCCATTCAGTCTATGATATTTTTGTTATAGCAGCCTGAGCAAACTGAAACAACACACATATGAAATAAACTAACTGTGGAGTAAAAGTGACTGAGTGACTGAAGAATACTCATTTGTTTTTATACTTTTCTGAAACCCCATGAAAACATGGTAAAGAATTTTTGCCCCCAGGACATCAAATAATAAGGACAAAGAATGAGGAAAGGCATGACAGCCTCAATATTTGAAAGTTGAGAAGATTAATGAAGGTAACTGATGTGCCAGATCCCAGAGTGATGGGTCCCAAGATGGCAGAGAAGCTGAGAAGCATTTGATTACACACAAGTCTTGAGAGCTGGACGAACTAGGCAGCTCAGGAAGTGGAGTGAAGGTAGAACAGAAACCATGAAGCAATTAGAGCCTCAGATCTCCTCTCTACTCCCAGCAAAAGCCTAGAAGTTTATTTTTTGAAAAATCTAAAACAGAGGGCTCTAGGAGAGCTGAGGGGCGGCAATACAGGACAGAAAATTAAGATTAGTGAGTGTTGGCATATTGAAAACAAAACTTATCCCTGCCCCCTTCTCCTCTTCCTCTACCTGGATCTCAGAATGCTAGCAATTTGGCCAGAAAGCAGCTCAAAGTGATTTCTCTAATGAATTCAACCAAATTCACATACACACACACACACACACACACACACACACACACACACTTCAAAAAGAAAGCCTGGACTTGCCTTGTTCAGTATAGTAGTGAAAGGAATTTTAGAGATAGGACAGGCAGTATCAAGAGATAAGGAGGGTTCATGGGAGAGGAATGCATATGTGAAAGGCAAAAATAGCTCTAAGACGTCAGAATATTTTCACAGAGGATAAAGAAAAGTCACAGGATACCAGGAAGAGGGAAACATATTTTCACAGAGGATAGAGGAATGTTGCAAGATAAGGGGGAGAGAAAGAGGAGGGCACCACATGGGTTTTGAGCTTTGAAACTGATACTATGTAGCAGAGTGACCAATGAGGAAAGCATGGGGATCCTAAATTAAGGAAGG